GATTTCGTCTTTCTGCCTTTCTTTCTTTCTCCTCACAGAGGAGTCCTTCCCGCCCCCTTTAACAGCCGCCTCCCTCCCCTGCCTGCCTGGCCTGGCCTGGCTTCGGCTTAAGCCCGTCGCTATTCCGTAGCAGGAGGAGCCATTCACACGGCCAGGGGAAAAAAAAGAGAGAAGGGGGGGAACGAAAGAGAGAGGAGAAAAAGAGACGCCCTCCCCGCTTTCTCTCTCTCTCTCTCTCTCTTCTTCCTCCTCCTCCTTCCCAACACGCTCGCACGGCTCGCTCCCTCACAGCGGGCCAAGGCGGGCCCGCCTCGGCTCGTCCAATCCGGTTCTCCAGCACGGGAGGCTTCGCGCGCCTCCGCCAATGGCGTCGAAGTTTGCATTCGCCGTCCAAGGGGGTGGTTGCTGTTCTTGAGGAGGTGGGGAAAAGAAGGAGAGAGGGTGGCAGAAGGGCGGCCTAGTGGGAGGGGAGACGGTGAGGCGGAGTGGCTGGAAAAGGAGGGGGGCGCGGATAAAGCGAAGGGGAAAGCTATATAAAGGGCTGAGGGGACGGGAGTTTTCTGCGAGAGTAGGGTCGGTGGGAGAGTGAGGAGCTGGAGGAAGAAGTTTTAATTTCTCAGGCTTTTTAAGAGCTGCTGGAAATTGGGGTCTCGTAAATGGGGAGCTGCTGAGAATTTGGGGTTCAGAAGCGGAATGAATGCCTTTTTTTTCATGACAGAAGTTAAAATGAGGATCAAGGATTCCCCAGGAGTACAAAGAATGGTGCAAAAGATCGTCTTTTGAGTGAAAGCTTTGGTTTGGAGTTTCCTTCTCTTTTTTTAGGAAGAAAGTAAAAAGAAGAGGACTGTATAAGAATAATAGCATTGATTATGATTGGGATGGAAGCACTGATCTGGGCGGGAGGGAAAGTGAGGGAGAAGACGCTGGTGCACACGTACTCCCCAGACACGCAGGACGGTGTTTCTTCTGGAAGGGTCGACCCCTTTGGCCCAGGATGCAGCGTTTGCAAGCCGAAGCCTTTGCTCACCTGCTAGTTCTGGAAAGAGATGCCTGAGTAAGAAAACCGCCGTGGAAAGGCTGAAGAAACACGTCAACAAATGCAGAATAGAAGGGTAGGTGTGGAACCATTTGTGGAACTAAGCTTTGCATATTCTGTGTCTTATTCCATAAACCGCCAGGACGATTGCTCTTCCCCCACCCGTGTTCCTTGTCCTTTTCCTTTTTCATCCCTGCGGTTTCAGGGAATTGTTTTGAAGTGTGGATGTTTGGCTTTTCCCCCCTGCCTTGGGGTTGGGGAGTGTCCCTTTAGGTTACCCATTTCCAACATGGACTAGCCATTGCATACAAAGTTTATATGCATTCTGATCCTCTGGTTCAGAAAGGTCAGACGTTAAAAGTGTGGTTTACTTTAAAGTGAACCAATAATGTTTGTCCAGACATTAAAAACTTACCAAAAGCTGACAACTTTACTATATACTACATGGTTAGAAATGAACCTCCTATACCTTCTTCAGGTGTCTCTGCCACTGACAGCCAATGTAGTGTAGTAGATAGTGTAATAGACTAGGACTCAGAAGTTTTGGGTTTGAAACACCACTCAGTCATGGAAATTTTACCAAAGTACTGGTAAAACCACTCTTTAAATACCATCCTCACCTTCAAAGCCCTACCAGGTTTCCTGTCAGGTGGCTCTGGTTTAACCGCACGTCACATGCACATTCTTTAAGTAGTCCAGTTTCATTTCTGCTGGTTGTGTTAATATTCTATTTTGTGATGCATTGGCACTTTAGTTTTGATGTGGTTTATTGCAGGGTCACACCGCTGATCATATTTTCCTACCTTTGCAATTGTTTTTCATTCTGGCCAATGAACAATTGGTTTAGCTATTATGCTGGTGATCTCTCAGCAGCTACCTCACAGCACATGCAGGTTTTCAGCTGGCAGGTGTAAACAAGAGATGATGAATGAAATTGTCATTTGGTGATTGGGTTGGCAAATTGAAGAACCTTGGTACCCCTATCACGCTATAAATTTCACAACCTGTGGGGAATATAATCCAATAAATAAATATTTTGTGTGTGCTTTGTGTTTCTGTTTCATGTGCATTCAGAAAATGTGGGGTTGCTATACATGCCAATACCCTTCTTTGTTCTTAAAGAAGTTATTGGGTAGTTTTAAGTTACAGAATGCCCATTTGTCCAGTTTTACTCAGTGGCCATATTCAGGTGTTGCTGAATCATATCTGCTGTACATGCTGAATTATTTATTTATTTGTTTAAAATATTTCTATGCTGCCTGTCCCCAAAGGACCCAAGGCTGCTAACATCACTAAAACAGTATTTAAAAGCTAAAACAGTGAGTATACAAATATTAAAAAATAATTAAACAATTACTGTATTAAAATTGCAACTAAGATCAATATTAAAACACATTTAAAACAACAGTCCATTTAAAACCCCTCTCAGACCACCCATCGGTTAAGGAAAAGGTCTGCCTGAAGAAAAAGGTCTTTGCATGGAAAAGCCTGCCTGAAGAAAAAGGTCTTTGCATGAAAACAGAGAGCTTAACCCTATCCTCCTCTATCATTGTTTTTAGTGCCAAATCTGAAGAGGTCCCTGCTTGCATGAAGGCTCTTCACAACAATAAGAGGCTTGGAATGAATCTGTGCTCTCACTCTTGTGGGAAGCCTACCTTTCAGCTCTTGTCTTCAGACTCGGCATGGAAGGCATGAAAAAAGCAACAATAGAGGAGAGGACGGGACTGGGCAAGCATTCACCTCTAATCAGGTTCAGAATGCCAGATTCAGTCATGGCTGAATAGAGGTGGGAAGTTTGGTGTTTCAGGTAAGAGTGGAGGTCCCTTGTCAACAACCAACATTCTCTCAACTGTAATATATTGACTGTCTATCTGAATTTTCAGAAGGAGCTCTTCCCCCACCCGTGTTCCTTGTCCTTTTCCTTTTTCATCCCTGCGGTTTCAGGGAATTGTTTTGAAGTGTGGATGTTTGGCTTTTCCCCCCTGCCTTGGGGTTGGGGAGTGGCCCTTTAGGTTACCCATTTCCAACATGGACTAGCCATTGCATACAAAGTTTATATGCATTCTGATCCTCTGGTTCAGAAAGGTCAGAAGTTAAAAGTGTGGTTTACTTAAAGTGAACCAATAATGATTGTCCAGACATTAAAAACTTAACAAAAGCTGACAACTTTACTATAAACTACTGTACATGGTTAGAAATGAACCTCCTATATCTTCCTCTTCAGGTGTCTCTGCCACTGATAGCCAATGTAGTGTAGTGACATTGGGGCAAAAAATCAAAACTTTAGTTATCAGCTGATGGGTTCTGAGCTATCTGTGATGGATCAGGAAAGAGATCTTGGTGTGTTGGTGGACAGCACAATGAAAGTATTAACCCAGTGTGTGGTGGCGGTGAAGAAGGCCATGTCCATGCTAGGTGTCATTAAAAAGGGGATTGAAAATAAAACAGCCAACATTATAATGCCATTGTACAAAACGCTGGTAAGGCCACACCTGGAGTATTGCGTACAGTTCTAGTCACTGCACCTCAAAAAAAAAACATAGTGGAACTGGAAAAGGTGCAGAAGAAAGCAACTAAAATGATAATTGGGCTAGGGCACCTCCCATATGAGAAAAAGCTACAGCGTTTGGGGCTCTTTAGTCAAGAGAAAAGGCACCTGAGGGGTGACATGATTTCAGACATAAAATTATTCAGGGGATGGATAAAGTGAATAGAGAGAAGCTCTTTTCCCTCTCATGCAAAACTAGAACCAGGGGATATCCACTCCAATTGAGTGTTGGGAGAGAACAGACAAAAGAAAGTATTTCTTTACCCAATGAGTTGTTGGTCTGTGGAACTCCTTGTCACAGGATGTGGTGATGGCATCTGGCCTAAATGCCTTTAAAAGGGGATTGGATAAATTCCTGGAGGAAAAATCCATCGCAGGTTACAAGCCATGATGGGGGATGTATAATCTCCAGGCTTAAAAGGAAGGTACCTCCAAATGCCAGATGCAGGGGAGGGGGATCAGTAAACAGGTCTCTAGTTGTGTCATGTGCTCCCAAAGGCATCTGGTGGGGCTACTGTGAGATACAGGAAGCTGGACTAGATAGGTCCTTCTTATGTTCTTTTATTCTTATGACTTCAGCAACAATTTTTTCTTATGAAAGCCACGTTAATTATTAGGGTAGGCTCCCACATTAATTGTCAGGGTGAGTTCATAGGTTGACAGGGTAGCCTGTTTTGCACTCCTCCCCAATGCAATAGGCTCCAGAGCAGTGGTCAGATTGTTCTCCCAGAGGCCTGAACTAACCATATTTCAAATACTTTTTGAGTTAAGGACTGCATTAGATCAGACAGGGCCACAGATGCTTACCTCTGCTATGAGAGAGATATACTTCTAAATGCACAAAAATAAGGATGGTATTTCTTTTGAATCTTGAGAGGACTAAAGGAAATTGTGTCTGTGCCAGCGTCAAGGTGATGGTGCTAACATACAAAGCCCTAAACGGTTTGGGATCTCCGTGCCTGGCAGAACACAGCCTTCCAATGAGATCGGCCCGTCCTCTATGATCTTTTCAGGCTGAGAGGTTGAGAGTATCGACTCCTAGAGAGGCCTGGAAAGAGAAGACTAGAAACCAGCCCTTCTTGGCAGTCACTCCCCAACTCTTGAATAACCTCCTGCCCAAAATACGCCTAAACCCCTCACTGGGAACTTTTAAATGATCGCTAAAAACATGTTTCTTTAGACAGGGCTTTCAGGACTTCATAACATACAGTGGTGGTTTTAACGTTTACATAATCAGTCCTGCCATCTTGCCTCCATATCATCTTAATTAGTTTCAGTTAAATTTGATGGTTTATACGTGTTTAATTTTGATTTTATAATTATTATGTTTGTTGTTTTCAATTGTTGCTTGATGTTATATTTGTTTAACATGTAAACTGCCCAGTGTGTCATTGGTAGCCATATGGGTTGTATAAAAGTCAAATACATAACATAAATAAAATTAAAATTGCAAGATGGGTTTTTTGGGGACGGGCAGAAAGCTACATGAGAACTCTGCTTCTGAAAGAGAGGAGAGGACTAAAGGAAATTGTGTCTGTGCCAGCGTCAAGGTGATGGTGCTAACATACAAAGCCCTAAACGGTTTGGGATCTCCGTGCCTGGCAGAACACAGCCTTCCAATGAGATCGGCCCGTCCTCTATGATCTTTTCAGGCTGAGAGGTTGAGAGTATCGACTCCTAGAGAGGCCTGGAAAGAGAAGACTAGAAACCAGCCCTTCTTGGCAGTCACTCCCCAACTCTTGAATAACCTCCTGCCCAAAATACGCCTAGACCCCTCACTGGGAACTTTTAAATGATCGCTAAAAACATGTTTCTTTAGACAGGGCTTTCAGGACTTCATAACATACAGTGGTGGTTTTAACGTTTACATAATCAGTCCTGCCATCTTGCCTCCATATCATCTTAATTAGTTTCAGTTAAATTTGATGGTTTATACGTGTTTAATTTTGATTTTATAATTATTATGTTTGTTGTTTTCAATTGTTGCTTGATGTTATATTTGTTTAACATGTAAACTGCCCAGTGTGTCATTGGTAGCCATATGGGTTGTATAAAAGTCAAATACATAACATAAATAAAATTAAAATTGCAAGATGGGTTTTTTGGGGACGGGCAGAAAGCTACATGAGAACTCTGCTTCTGAAAAGTGTGCAACTTCAATAATGTAAATGTTATAATTTTCTAAAATTTGGAAAACTGTGCAGGTAGAAGCAGTAATACTATTCAGTATTAGTGATATCATCAGTTGGCTCTGTATAAAACACACAAATAAATGGGAGTCCCTGATCATCTTATCTCTCTCTCTCCTGAGAAACCTATATGTGGGACAGGAAGCAACAGTTAGAACTGGATATGGAGCAACTGATTGGCTCAGAATTGGGAAAGGAGTACGACAAGGCTGTATACTATCCCCCAGTTTATTTAACTTATATGCAGAATACATCATGCGAAAGGCAGGACTGGAGGAATCCCAAGCCAGAATTAAGATTGCCGGAAGAAACATCAACAACCTCAGATATGCAGATGATACCACTCTGATGGCAGAAAGTGAGGAGGAATTAAAGAACCTCATAATGAGGGTGAAAGAGGAGAGTGCAAAAATGGTCTGAAGCTCAACATCAAAAAAGCTAAGATCATGGCCACTTCCTGGCAAATAGAAGGGGAAGATACGGAGGCAGTGACAAATTTTACTTTCTTGGGCTCCATGATCACTGCAGATG